GCTTTTATCTACAAAAAAGAAATAAAATTGGAAAAAGCAGTATAAAAATTTTGGATTTAAAAATCTTTAAACGGCATCGGTGATATCTTGTGGTGAAGTTTGGTATTACAACTTGTTATTTCCTAAAAGAGACTTGGCTCAAAGCCCAGACCTTAGATAAGACTCTTCTGATCTTGGCACCACCTGTGAGAACCCCAGCTGGGCGGCATAACTGGCCTACTTGAACTGTGAATGTAAACTTTTATTGACTTTCAGAGTTATATGTGAGGAATTGCCTATCTCTTTATTTGAGGAATATTGGTTACTATATGAGATGATGAAATACCTTGGACTATAAAATCTTGCTTGACAAATGACTTCTACTATAAAGACTATTTATAAACACGTGAAAGTGATGGATGGGGACCAGGAAAAGATTCTTTCCATGTTGAAAGCAATACATGAAACCATTCTTTCAGCTTGTGACGAAATAAGATGTTACAGAAAAGAACAAGATGTCAGCTTATACAAACCCAAATTCTGACTACAACTAAAGAACTAACATCACAGAAGGTAACAGAAGAAGTGGAACAATCAAATACTAAGACAGAGGACTCAATTGACCAACAAATATAGTCAATGGAATATCCAGAAAAGAGACTGACAACACTGAAAATGGAAAAGACTTCCTATATAAACCAGAAGAAATTTGAGGAGCAAGAAGAAGAACAGACTGAATGGAAGATAAACATACCAGGACAATTATGGGGATTTGGAATAATAGGGAGACGATTTAAGGAATACAAATGGGCTAGCCCTTTCAAAAATGGCAACTAAATGGTATCGCTTATTCCAAACAATATATATAATAATAGAGGGAGATCTATTTGATGATTTAAAAGCGTTGACATGGAAGGCTAGTTGGCAAAGAAAGAAAGCCAGAATAAGGCTGAAGAAAATTGGGGTTTTGATTTATTAGAGGGGGTTTCATATTACTAATTAGAGGGTCAAAGGGAGAAGTTGAGATAAGGGAAATTTTAGTCATTAAATTTAAAATATTTGGAAATTAATCAAAAATAAGGATGCTATTTGTTTAATACTTAAAAATTAGATCCAAAAGAAAAAAATATTATGAATATGTTTGATTTATTAACTCAGACAATATATATAATGGGCTTTGATTTATTAAATGGGATACTGCATTATTAATTAGATGATGTAAGATGGGAGAAATAGATAACTTTTAGGAAATAGAAATAGGAAATAGACCAAGATTATACCCAAATAGATAAGATGTATTTTGAATATTAGATTCTGTTATGAATTGAGATAAAGGAAACTTTGGGTACCTAAAACCTGGAAATTATAAATATCAAATGTTAACTTTGAATATTGATGGAAAACTAAAAATTGGAAAAAACCAATAACAGGACATTGATTGAATGTAAACATTGAATGTAAAAATAATTAAGATATGTATAAGCTAAAATTTTATTGATAATTGTAATAATGATGTTTTTATTTAGTTGATATAATAAGAACTGCATTCGCTTAAATATGAGATAGTAGATATTAAAGGAAAAAGAGAGGAAATATTTGAGGTTGTAGTTTGAGATTTGTACTAAAAAAATTTGTATGTTACTGAATTATTGATTAACCCAGCCACCACATTGCTTTTTAAATACCTAAATGTAAAGTTAGAAAATTAAAAAAAACAAAAGTAAATCCCCCCAACAGATCTCTCTCACACATGCTCTCATTTCATCCCAGAAGAAACTGAAAAACCATCAAAATGTTACTGCATAATGTTTTGTTTTCAGAAAGCAAATGCTACATTTTTCCTAATTTCCTAAGATTTGACCATTCAACCACACACGTACCTACTGTAATTGCTTTTACAGTGGATATCTCTGAACAAATGAATTGCTAAAAGACACCTACTGATCAATTAAATAAAGCAGATATATTTAAAAGAAACTATACTGCTAATGAGTGTACAACACCTAGAATGTAGATGGCATATAACAATACTAACGGCAATCACAAAAGGATTTTGTTTTGTTGAAATTCTTCTAAGCTATATCGTCATCAACTTATTTTAACAATTGGACTAAAAAAAAATAACTGCAACATGGGATAAATCAAATGGTTTTGATTTGATTTCTCCTCCCATCTTCTTTTTTCTTTACATAGGAATTCTAAGGACCCAAATATATGCATAATATTTTGATATTTATTACCTTCCTCTTGGTCAAAGCTTATTAACAAAATCAGGACTTTTCCTAGGGATTTAGGTAATCAGCACTAGTATTATTATATACAAACTCTTCCCAGGTCAGCCTATAAAGATTCACGTATTTCATCTATGCCGCCAGTTTATAGTACAATCTACCTGAAATAGCAATAGCACTTAGGCTTATATAACGTCCCATAGCGCTTTACAGCACTCTCTGGGCGATATATAATAAGCATTATACAAATGCCTCTTGAGCAAGCCCCTTATATTCCATTTTTCACCTCCTCCTCTCTAATCTGCTTTTTTGCCTTTGTTTCTTCAAGCTGTTTCCAGAATATATTCTCTGATACTTTTGTGATGCCATACATCAGGATTGAGCAACTTGTTTTCTGTTTAAAAGTAATAGTTCCCAGCAAAATCATCTGTTGGAAGTTGCATCATATGTCAAGGCAAACGCCAAAGGGAACAGGACCCCCTGTGCTCTCTCTCTCTCTCTCTCATACTTTTTTTCACTTCTTCTCTCTTTTAGAGATACTCTTTTCGTTCTTTTCCTCCTCTTAACCGTAGCACACTGCAAACAGCTGGTGCCAGAAGTCTGCATTCATCCCTAACAGAGGGCTTCTGAAAAAGGCCAAGGGTTGCAGGAGCTCCAGTCTGCCTCAGCAGTAATAATGTTGTTCTCACAAAAAGAGTGGAATGTGGACACTGTGCCATTTCTGATTTCTTTTTGATCGTTCTTACTTTCTCTTCCCCAACCCCATTCCATTTGCAAGAGAAGCAATCATCCAGCAAATCAGAATTACATTTAATCACAATGGAAAGATGGTCCATTTTTCCCATTTACTATCTTCAGCAGCTGACAAGTGATATTTTAGTTAGCCTCATGGCAGGAGGGGGTAAACTTTTCCTTTCGCTAAAGCAGTGGTTCTCAACCTGTGGGTCGGGACCCCTTTGGGGGTCGAACGACCCTTTCACAGGGGTCGCCTAAGACCATCTGAAAACACATATTTCCGATGGTCTTAGGAACCGAGACACCGCTCCTCTATCTCATTTTCCTCCTCTTCCTCCTCCCCTTCTTCCTCCTGCTGCCCCCCAGGCGGCTCGGACGGGTGCCGGGAAAAGCTGGATGGGGGGTTGGGGGTCACCACAACATGAGGAACTGTATTAAAGGGTCACGGCATTAGGAAGGTTGAGAACCACTGCGCTAAAGTGTTGGCATATAAACCTCCAATATTTTTCAAAGTTAACATTCCTCTCTTTCCTTCAAACTCAATTACAAATAGTCCTCAACTTATGACCACAATTGAGCCCAAAATTTCTGTTGCTAAGCAAGACAGTTGATAAGTGAATTTTGTCCCATTTTATGACTTTTCTTGACTCAGTTGTTAAGTGAATCACTGCAGTTGTTAAATTACTAGTACAGTTGTTAAGTGAATCTGGCTTCCCCATTGACTTTGCTTATCACAAGGTCGAAAAAGGTGATCACATGACCCCGGGATACTGCAACCGTTATAAATAGGAGTCGGTTGCCAAGCGTCTGAATTTTGATCATGTGACCACGGGGATGCTGCAACGGTTGTGTGAAAAATGGTCATAAACCACTTTTTCCAGTGCTATTGTAACTTTTAATGGTCACTAAATGAAATGTTGTAAGTTGAGGACTACCTGTATTTAGAATTCTGAAAATTGTTCTGAATAACTAGCAGGAAATGCCCAGAATTGTTGTTTCTCCTGCAGATTCTTAAAAGATCAGAAAAACAAAATAAAAAATAGACACAATTTTTCCAAGCACATTTCAGCAGAAATTTAGGGGAGATAAGGCAAAAATCAAGACAAGCTTCTGAATATAATCCAAACTGTTTCTCCATGACCTTATATCATCAATGAGCAGATTTCATGCTGCCTAAGGGCAAAATTCTTGATGTGCTTCCATGCAGCTTATATTTGTTAAGTTGTTTTTTTAAGCTGTGTTCCTTCAAGCACAGATTGGTTGTTTCTAATTTCCTCAATCTTTGGCATACTATGATACCATAAACTGTGAAACTGGCACTACTTCTTGTATCTTTTTATATTAAGTAAACACTAGACATTCTCCTTTGGGGAAGCTATTCTTATGGCCTGCAGAAGCCATTCTGGATAAGAAGATAGAAAAAGACTCATTCACCTTTTTTCCTACTTGCTGGAGATAATGACAATACTTAAAAGACTTAGAAATTAAGATTTCCTTCCAGACACTCATTCTATGAAATCCTGTTCTGTTTTATAGATCTAGTTTATACAGATCTCCTAATTTTTCACACAGGTGGCAAAAATATTTGGGTGCTACAGTATAGCAATTTGGCATACAAATAGGAGATCATATGATTCAATATGACTTTACAGAAAAAGATTTCTTTACATACAAAGCAAGCATGTTAGGTTTAGATAAGGAGAGAGAGATAAGGATTATTTTCTGTGTGAAAGGAAGAGTGATTAGTCATGTGACTTCCCATTTAATACACATGCATACATATCATTATTATCATTATCATCATCATCATCATTATTATTATTGAAAAACCAATGAAGTTAAAAAATCCAACAGAATAGTACTTAACAGAGACTTAATATTTTTATCAACATGCTTTAAATGTCACAGGATATATCTTTCTATTACTTTCCACACTAGATGATAGAGTATTTTGTTTTCCAGAACTGTGAATCCATAAATTCAAAGTCATCCAATGCAATTCCCAGATTAATAATTGGAAAATATTTTCCGGTATATTTAAAGCAGAGAGCCTACCTTATTATGCTCATAATTGTATGGGATTCTGAGTGTATCCATAGCTCTGATCATGGACTGCATTGCTGTAAATATATTCTGATACACAAGCTTTGTGAACCCTCTTTTGTCTTCATCAGAATATCCTGAACCGTGAATGATTCTCATTTGTTTGATAAATGTGCTTTTGCCACTTTCTCCTGTACCTGCAAAACATTTGAAAATAGATGCATCATTAGATTACAATGGTTGTAGAAAAAGCATCAGCTCCTCAGCTTTACTTGCCTAATTTAAGAATTATACTAATAAAATAATATAAACCCTAACAATTAACTTATTCTATTTCACAATACTAGGTTAATGAGTTAAATCAAATCTAAAACCTTGTCACATCAAGCGTTACTTAATCTCTACCTTGTTGTCATATGAAGAAAAAGAAGTAATTTGCACCTAACAATGAAACATTTTATATACAGTATAAATCTCATTTTCCAAGTGAGAATATTCTCTGTCATTAATAATCAAGTAATTAGCTACTTCATCACGGTACCACTAGAACCTTTATGTGATAATGAAATACAGAAAAATATCCATATCATCACAAAATAGCTTGAGACCCCCCCACAGTGAATTTTAAAAATATTTTGCTCAAAAATCCCCAACTATATTCACACCTTAGAATTAGTTTTAAAATTTTTGTTACATTGCATTTGAAAGTATTTATGTGCCCTTGCCCCTTTCCTATAAGGGACTCAAGTAAACGTCCTTTTCTACAAGAAAACATTTTACAAACATACAAAGTGTAGAAGACACTATTTAGATGACATAACAGCAGAGAGGCAATGCTTCTATTTTGGTGTCACAATGAACAAGCTCATGCACTAAAAAATAAACTCATATTCATCCCCTGATTTCGCTCTAGATCAGAGGTCTCCAACCTTTTTGTTTTGGCGGCCCAGAAAGGGAGGCAGGCACTGCTATGTGCACGCATGCAAAGGGGCTGCGCGTGTGTGCATGCAAAAATGACCCCTCGCGCATGTGCATGCACACAAACATCAGCACGCAAGCACATGTGCAAACAGGGCTACATGGGCGCGAGTGCTGCAAATGGGGTGGTGTTATCGCTGGCAGAATGCTATGGGCAGTGCTAGAGCCAGTGGGACGCTCAGGGGCGGGTCTAGCGCCGGTGGGATGCTCCGAGTGGCACTAGCGCCAGTAGGACGCTTGGGGTGGCATTAGCACCAGTGGGATACTCGGGGTGGTGCTAGTGCCGGCAGGATGTTTGGGGGCGGGGTGGCGCTAGCACCAGCAGGATGCTCAGGGTGGCGCTAATGCTGGTGGGATGCTTGGGGATGGGGCAGCGCTAGCACCAGCGGGATGCTCGGGGTGGCGCTAGTGCTGGTGGGACGCTTGGGGTGGGGTGGTGCTAGCACCGGTGGGATGCTCGGGGCGGCGCAAGCACAAGTGTGCACTGGCCATCCCTTCACACAGCCCGGTGGCCAAGCAGCTGTGGCCTGGTAGTGGGCTACAGCCACAGGTTGGGGAGCCCTGCTCTAGATGTTTAAAGTAGATGCCCCAAAGGAAAACAATTCTATACATCAGCCATTCAACTAATTTTTTTAAAATATCCAGGATGAAAATTAGAAAAAGAAGAACATCCAAAATTTGATTTAAGGACATCCAAATTGTGACCAGACAGATAGCAGGAAAAAGAAATTTATCCCCACATAATGAAATGAGTGACTTTTAGCAATTCTGCAGTTTATGTACCCTCAACATTATTTTGATATGATATGCTATGGTGTGATATATGATATGGTACGATATATATGATGTTATATGATATTATGTTAGACCTAGGAGTTCAGAAGGTGTTATCAGGAAAAGAGTAGTTTTTTAAAAAGGTGAAGAAAGTATAATTTCTGTGTTTCTCTAGATTCTATCCTAAACGTACTACTCATAAAGACATTATGGCTAAACTGGTTACACAGCAAGTAGTGGCAAATCATCTAAGGGAAAAATATGAAATATACTCGATGTGAACAAAGATATGCACAAAATAGTTATAAGTTTTCAGAATTTCCATAACAACAGAAAAAGTAATGTATGCTGTTTTCTTTAGCAGCAGGCATTTTTACATAAAATTTGGTATAGCATATCTTTAGGTGAGGTCAGTCTCTTCTGACCATTGGCATTGCTTATGAACATATAGAGCATATGTATCAGATAGGAAAGGCCCTTTGTAAATATTTTAAAGAACTTGAAAATATTTCACTACATTTTATCTGACATAATAATATCTCCTTAACCCTTACAACAGCAATCCCCAACTTTTGTGGCTTGGTGGCCCAGCTGGGACGGGAGAGGGGAACTGGGCCATGTGAGCAGTTGGCTGGCGTGTCCACGTGTGTAGCTTGACTTGCGTGAGCGGCAGGCTGGCACGTACACACATGCATGTGCAGCTCAACCTGCTGAGCCGCTGCTCACACAAGTCTAGCTAAGCCTGCGTGTCGCCATCCTACTTGCACGGCCTGGTTCTGAATAGGCCATGGCCCTGGGGTTGGGGACCCCTGCCTTATATGATTCAGAGAGAATCAGAAGTAGAGTTCAAATGTTTCTATCACAAATGCTCAGGTTTTTACACCTCTTAATATTACATGTTAGCAACCAGCTACTTTCAGAAAATTGAGTCTTAGACTAATTACAAATATACTAGAATACCTTCAACAGGTAAATCTACATAGTATTTATTGTCAATTCAGTATTTTAGCTGGGTTCCAATTTTCTCTGAACATGTTACACAATGAGTCAAACTAATCATCACAATTATAACAATACTGACTCTGGGTTCATGAAAAAATCAAGCAAAAAAAAAAAAAGATAAAAGGTGATGACTATCTTCTAACAGCCTTTTCAGCTCAAGCATTCTTTGTCTGCCCATCTTGTGCTGAGGAACATCCATTCCAATCCTTGAAGTTCTACATACCTGGCCACTGATATTACAGAACATGATTCTTAATGTTATTTTTTAAGATCTCATAAACTGTCTAATAAGGAATTATTAACCATCTTGTTTGCAATTCAGCCAAGATGAGCCATGTATGTCACATGTAGGCAATGCTAACTGTTGATAGATTACAACCAGCTTTCTTCCTTATAGTGAAGGATGCTTGAATGGAATGAAGAAAGCTGGATTGTATTTGAATTGTGTTTGAATGCAAACACATTGCTGATTTACAAAGCAATACAGCATAAAAGATAGAAACTTTGGTTGTTGCGATCTAAAAGAATCACTCCAACAAGTGAACTTTTTAATTTGCCCAAAATTCAGAGATGCATTAATCAATCAGAGCTGCAAAGATTTTCAGGGTTGACAGAGTAGCTCACTCAAGTTAATAGAATTTACTTTTTCGTTGACAAACATAAGTCTCTCAATGTATTTGTAAACCTGAAGAGAAAATTTGGAAAGTCCAATTTTGATGGTCATTGTTTATTTTGAACATTAGTGAATAATGCCGAGCTTGTACAATATACAATCACTTTTTCAATTCTGGAAGTGAAAAATGGTACAATTATTTCGCATATGCTATTTTCTTTGTTCCATATTCTAAAAGTTATTTAAAACCTCAATAGATCTGAGGACTTCCGGTTTTGTGCGGTAGTGACCGGTCGCGGGCTTGCGGATTCTCTGCACCCTCGTGGCTAATTTTGACCTGCCTGGGGACCCTAAATGGGTCTAAGTTGCCCCGGAGAGGCGACAAAGAAAGAAGGGTGCTCCAGCAATTCTAGAATGGCGGTGGCCATTCTGTTCGACTTGGGGAAAGCCTTCTAACCCGATAGGAGAAAGGCTGGCCGTATTGCATCGACCAGCCCAAGCTACTAGCAACTGAAGTCCAAAAGCACTAACCAGCACAACTGTGAACAGCATCCTTGAAACTGGGTGAGGAATTCGATCTTCTCTTTTCTATTCTATTTAATTTCCTTGAAAAAATCCCCAAGAAGCAAAATACCTTCGAAAGGGAAGGAGGGGGATTTCCGCCCCACCCTTATACTAATGGAAGCGGCGAATTAACCTTTTTATGGAGGATCAAAATATATGGAAGTGAAATAAATATAAAACCTGAAATTTAAAACTTAAATCTGGATAAATCTAAAATTGTTTGAATGGTTAAGACTCTCATTTTAAAGATAATTGTTTATTTTGGAAATTGAAAAATAGTTGCTGACAACTAGTGGTGGATGAAGACTATGACAGCTATGACTTTAATATAAGACTTGGCAAAACTTGGGAAAAGCTCATCTGTGTTTGTGACATTCAAAGTTTTAACAACAAAGAACAGCTGTGATAAAAAAAAGACAATAATCTGGGCTGTAGACAAAGAGAGAATTATAAATTTCAGAAAAAAAATCTTTTTGAACTATTTGGATTACAAATATCTATTTAATTGGGACTCTAAAGCTATTTGCAGAGAAAAGAAAGGAAGAGAAAAACTCAAATTCTTGACCATCATGGATCAGAGACATGTAGAAAGAACACATCAAGAAAACATAAATACTTCACAGGAGGAAATATATAGTATACTGCAACTAATTCAAACAACAATGACTTTAAACCACAAAGAAATCCAAAATAACTTTGAAAATATAAAACAATCTATTTCTAAGTTAACTCTACAACAAAAAAATTCCCAGAAAAAAACAACAGAGAAGAAGCAGATAAACAGATAAATGGATATAGAATAGAGACTTAAAGATGGGACTTAACAAAACAAGGAAACATGATTTAATCCTAGTGGGAAAAAATTCACAAGAATTAGAAAAAACAACTTAAGACTACAAAATAAATCTGCGGACAAGAAAACAGATTGGATAAAATGGACTGTAGAGATGTCAGGAACATTGGAGAGAAAGGAAATGATAAGAGAAGCGGAGAGAAAGAGAAAGAAAAAGATTTTCAACAAACGTGGAAAGTCAGAAGCCCTGTACAAAGACACTTCACCTGATTTACTTTTTATATCTTCAGCAACATTTACAACATACGGAAAAACTTTTTGATTCAGCAAAATACATTGATTAAGAAAGATACTGGGCAAAGGAAAAAGACTAAAGTAGAAACCAAGAAAATAGATGATGGGACTTACTAGAGAGAATACTTTAAAAAGAAACATTTGTTTGA